AAAGTAAATCTATTAGTGGGTTTTAGAAGCCTCATTTTTATGGCCAAGTTGGAAAAGAAAACGTTTGAGATACAATACACAGATGATAGTAGACATAATTTTTCAGTGGATTGTTTTGCCTAAAATTTGAATTGGTTCTACACAATAACACCTATGCAGATTAACGCCAGTTTGAAAAGCCATATTGATATGTATTCATCTGTGATTATCATTCATATATGAAACAGTTATTTTGCAAATTGAGCCTTTTATTAGAATGGTTATTCTGAATTAATGTTGATATAATTTTGAAAGAAATATTGTGAAGTTTGTCCTTAGTACACTAGAAATATAAATGTATTATAAATGACAGTTCACCTTATTAACTGATGAGTGTTTCTATTAAACAATTTGACAAGTGTTGAGAATCACATTTTTTGCAAGGAGGTGGAATCAGCAGACAGTAGGATGTTGTGGTTACTCATAACTTGGTATAAAAGAGTGGAGGATGGCGGCAGAAGCTGAGAGCCAACCACCTCCAGGCTTCTGAACCCAAAGGTTCTGCAAACAGTTCCAGGTTATCCAGCACATGGATAGAGACAACAGCATTTACCATAAGATTTGAGGGTTTTTTTCATTGAGCTCTGAGAGCTCTTGTTAACTAAGCAAGTGTTTGTGTTTATTGTTGTCGTTTGTACTGAACATTGTTAGTGTTGGGGTAATGGAAACCCACTTTTTTATTCTTATGACTTTCAGGGCTTTTGTTGGTGAAGGAGGATGGGGTAAAAAGCAGCAGAGGGGGGTGGCTCCACAGATTGGATTTGTGCAAATGACAGTCCCCATCGTCGCCCAGAAAGCTGTCAGCCACTGCATGTTTGCTGAACTCTTTCGAATAGCTCTTCCCTGGGTGGCAGTGGAAGTCCCACCCAGCTTGGTGTTAGATGAGAACTAGAATCTGTAAGTTATTCCGCCTACCAGGTTGACACAAGGGGCTTCCATTCTGGGTTTTGTAAGAGAAACATTTTATTCGTGACCACCATGTTCATGATAATACTTCCAATTTCTTTTAATGAATGTTGTCATGATTCAGAAAATTTCCAGCACTTTAATGGCAAAATTAATTGAGACTGTAAGGAAGTAGGTGCTGTATAAGGTAAATAAAGCTGTTAACCCTAAAAAATGGTGGAGGAAGGAATGGAAAAATACTGTCTATAAAGACAAAAGGTACTTATGACCAACTTTAGAGATTTATTGTTGGAATAACAATAAGGAAAGAATGTAAAGTGTGTCAGTGACCAAATGACCATTACTAGGTGCATAATGGGAATCGAGGTTATTAAATTATTTATAATAAATGCCCCTATTCATCATCTAAACTGAGTTCTCTTTGCAATAGCTAAGACACTAACATCTGATAGTTTAATGTAGTAACTAGAACTGTATCTTAACCAAAGAAAGCAGTTTCAACATTTCATCTTTTCCCTAAAGGACTACCTTGTCTCTACATAAATGCTTAATATTCTTTCATGCCTTTTTTCTCAATAAATGTTATAGTTTCATCTAAAATATTCACCAAAAGGCTCATGGGTTCAGAGGTGGGGGTTTAGGATGGTAATTAGATCCCGGAACACTAAGCTCATCCATCAGTGGACTAATCCATTAATAAATTCATTGTTCAACGTGCTATTAGTAGGTGGGGCCTGGTAGGCGGAAATAGAAATGGCTTATTGGAGTTGTGACTTTGAAAGGTACTGTATATCATTTTTCTGGCTCTTCTCGGTTGTGCTTCCTTCCTGCCATGAGGTTCATACCTTTCCTCTGCCTTGCACTTCTGATAGGATGTTTCTGGCATGAGGCCAGCCAACTGTGGGCTGAAATCTCTGAAACTGTGAGCCCAAACAAACCTTTCCTCCTTTGAGTATATCAAGTATTTTGTCCTCAAAATAAAAAGTTGACTTCTGCTACAAGAAAGAAAAGTTTGGCAACAGTTAATGTGATTCCACTATGGAAAAGAAGACTAAGCTAGCAAGTGGTCCTTTTTATAGAAAAGTATAAAATTTGCACAAAATGCAAAGGAACAAACACACGAAGTTAGGTGTGTGTTTTATAATCTCTAGTGAGATTACAATTAATTAATCACAGTTATAATTACAATTAATATGTAATTAAAGAGGTATAGACCCAAATGAATAAATAAATAAATACAAATGGCAAGAAATAAACAAAAACAAGCATAAAAAATGATAAAATAGTGGACATAAATCATACCCTGTCATAAGTATACTAAATGTGAATGTACTAAAAACACCAATTAGAGGCTGGAGATTTAGCTCAGTGGTTTCGCTGCCTCCTGCACAAGCACAAGGACCCGAGTTCAATCCCCAGTACCAAAAAAAACAACAATAAAAGTCATGCTAAAAAAAAGACCCAAATCATATTGATAGATAGGAAATAAAAAAGGCAAATACATATACCAATCAAAACAAGTTTGGAATAGTTTTGTTAATTAGACAAAATAGACTTCAGAGTGAGGAAAAACACATTATTACTGTCCTAAAGGAAAAAACAGGTGTCACTAAAACCTCTAAATGTTAAAATAGAGAAACAGATTTGTGTTTATGATTGTAAGACCAAGCTTCTCAATGAATATCAGCCAGTTCTTGAATGAAAATAGTGCATCATTCCAGATCCAACATCAAGGTGAAGTAGATTGTGTTTTTGACTTTGATGGAATTATGGGAGCTAGAACTCTGATTGTTATCAGGGCTTACTTCAGCATTTAAGAAACTATGTAAACAGAAAACAGCCTGAGAAATGGGTAGTTTCATCCTCTTATGATAATGATTGATTCTGGTATGGCAGTTTCTGTTAATTAAGAACATTATGCTGTGTCCTCATCCAAATTATTCACTGGATCTTGCACTGTGCAACTTCTGTCTTTTCACCAAAGTCAAAATGATCATGAAAGGTGAACATTTTGAACTGATTCAGGACATCAAGGCAGCCAAGACAGTGCAACTAAACATGCTAATGAAAGACGACTTTCAGAAAATGGCAAGAATGATGGGATAAATGTGTTTCAAAGGAGGAGGAATATTTTCAGGGGGATTAATGGCAGTGTGTCTTTTATTTTCAGTAATTTTTTACTATTAGTAAAATTTTAAAAAGTAAGCATTCATCATATTTGTGATAACAATAATGTACTGCCTACTTATAAAAGCTAGATTTTGCAAGTTTTCACCATAGAGAAATAATAAATGTTTGAGAAGATGGGTATGTTTAAGTGGATTCAAACATTATATAGCATATACATGTATCAAAACATCTTATGGTATTAAGATATAAACTTTCTGTATCTACTTATCACTGAAAACATTTAATAAAAGATTAACCAATGGGGGAAAAGCAGCAACGGCTTTGTTAGTTTGTATTGAATGGTTTATATTTACTCTTGGTTTTGGGGATTGAGTCCAGGTCTTCTCTCATGCTGAACATGCCTCTACGAATACTGTTTTAAATATCCAAATGGATCTACCAAACAAATCTCATTCCCAGAAATATGGCTCATTGTAAGCTATGTTCATTTCGAATGGAAATTTGATAAGTGTGTTATTTCTTGGGTCAGTTTATGACAGTGGTGGCGAGCCTAGCACGCGTGCAGCAGCAGGCTGTTTGTATCATTGAAAGTTCTGTTGTTATGTTTTTTTCTTAACGTATGAGTTGTTTTTTCTAAACCAAAACCTGTGTTCAGGTTTAATTTCAGTGTTGGCACTTTGTGATAAATCAGAGGGTTTTGAGTTGCAGTTTGGGTACTCAGTCTCTTAAAAAGTTCACCATCACTAATTTAAGAACTGTGAATTGAAAACAAAAACTAAAAGCAAAATCATGAAACTTCTGTAAGAAAACCAAATATCTTAATGACCTTGGATGACATCAAAATGAAGAACCAACACTGGGAAAGGCACTGTATAAGCAGTTTCAATACATATCACGGTAGCACAGATATAAATTTCATTTTATTTTTTGAGACAAGGTCTGACTATTTGTTGAGGCTGGACTAGAACCTCTGAGTTTGAGTGTGTCAGCCTCCTGAGTAAACTGGCTTACAAGTGTGTGATACCACACTCACCTTAGTAGAGACAAATTTTAAGCTGGTGAATTAAGTGGGGGAGATTAGTGATTTGACCAGTTGATAAACTGGCACTTAGAATTCAAGTTGGGTTCTCTAGTGTGAGAAACTGCAAGTGTAACTAAGGACTAAAAGGTATAATAGATAATGTGAAATAGGAAGAAAAGGGGCAAAGGGGAAGGGGAAGTGGGAGGGGTAGGGGAAAGGAAAGAAGGGAATGGAATTAATATGAGAAAAAGAAAAAATGGAAATGAAGTCTTTGTAGATAGAGAGGGGTGGAGGGGTTGAAGGCAGGGCAGGGGAATGGGGAAAAAATAAGAACCAAGATGGATTATGTAAAGGTGAAAATTTCCAATGATGAATGTCATTATATTGTATACCTTAAATGTACCAATATAATTAATAAAAAAAAAGAATTCAAGTTGGGAAAAATTACAAAAATTGGGACTAAGTTTTGATTCTGTGGAATGACATCATTTTCACATTCATTTAAAAAAATTACATGCAGCAGGAGGATCGCCGTGAGTTTGAGGCCACCCAGGGCTATGTAGTGAGTTCAATAACTATATAGCAAGACCTATCTCAAAAAAACAAAACAAAACAAAACAATTATGATGAACATTGTAACTTGAGACATATAACATCTCTCAACAATTATGATAGGAAAATATCATAATACTTTCACATCTGTTATTTGTATTTTGCTGGTTTAATGCTGTGGCACTAAATTGGTACTGACAGGAAAAATATATTTAGACTTAACTTTTTTATTTTGAAAATTTTATATCCTTAGTAATTTTTTGATTAATATTTTAAAATGTGTAGTTTAAAAAAATACTCCATCCACATATCCAGTCATTTTTATTTTTGCCTTTTGTTTTTTGTCTTCCAGGAATGCTGTTAGTCACAACAGATACCCTTGGCCATGACTTTCATGTCTTCCAAATTCTGACCCATCCTTGGTCCTCATCACAAAGTGCTATCCACCATCTGTACACTCTTCACAGGGGTGAAACTGAAGCCAAAGTAAGTTGTTAATTTTTCAGAAGGTTGATTTCTTTTGTGTAATATGATATCTAATCTGGTTGGTTATTTATATCACATTGGAACTCAGTGTTTGTCAGAAAGTATTGTTCTCTGACAGTGGGTTAGATTAAATTTTAAAAATGTCCCATTTGACCCAATAAATACATAAACAATAGATTAACACCTTATAATTAAAATTCAGTGATTTTTGTTAAAACAGGAGTTCATTTTATCCTGGTCTTGCCAAACTAATACTATTTCTTGCTCCAGAGAAAACTTCTTTCATTCAACTAAGAATCTCTCCAAACTTAACATTTTGATTTTATACATATACACACACACACACACATTCACATATGTGTACACACACAGATATTTACACACATATTAACATATCCATATTCACGTATATGTACACGCATACATATATACACACATTCACACATATACACATACATATATGTATACACATATACACACATTCACAAATACACAAAAATAATTCAGTTTTATAATAAATATGGGCATATAGATAACACCATCAGGAGTTCACAATGACTGTTGATTATTTGTATGTATGTATGTTTGTTTTTGAGACAGGGTCTCCCTTTGTAATTCAGGATGGCCTTTAACTCACTATGTAGCCGAGGCTGGCCTCAGCCTCCTGAGTGCTGAGATTACAGGCGTGCACCACCACACCCAGCCACAATGGCTATTGAAACCTGATTGTATGCATCTCTTTTCCACCACTTCATTTAGTGATATCACTTTGGTAGTTTAAAATCACCTGTGCTGGGTATATTTGATCAGGAAAATTGACAAACACTGCATATCAGGGCTGGGCTATTTTTTCCCCAGAGAACCAGTTTTTAAATGTCTATACACACAACTACACAAACATGCATTCCCCCCAATTTACTGAGTGATATATTGTGCACCATGTTAAATGATTTAAGTACATTCTTTGTTTAATGTGTACTTAATATTTTTACTATCACATTGTATAGATACTGTACATTATCTTAATAGCCTAAAATCCCAAAAAGCTTGTTTCACTGAGCTGCTTTTGATGTATTTACAGTACACCACCATATGTTTGTCACTGTAGGTGATAGCCTGTTGACCCTATACTATTTATAGGATTGTCCATCCTTTCTCAACAGTCTAAAGTACTGTTTCTCTTCAATTTCCACCAAAGCAAGTGACTGTAATAAAATGAAACATCTTAAATACTGTATATAGAAATCAGTGAGTTCAAAATGATATATAACAAAAAATTGGGTAGCCTGTTATTATTGTGAATATTGATAAAATATCTACCATTTATCCTGCTTTTCTTCTATCAAGTTAATAATACAACCACATGGTTAATGAGAGGACATTTTTCTGTTGAATTCCAACATAAAAAAATAAACATTAGAAAATAATTGTTTTCAATTATGGACCTATTCAATAATCATCTGTGTTAGTTTTTAGCTGATGAATCTTAGCCTTACTCAGGTGAAACAGTCATATATTGTGTGCTTATTAATATGATGTAAGAGGGTATATACATCATCAATGAATTACTCTGTCCAGCCCTTTAAATTAAACCTATATCTAGTTCAGCTTCTAAATATAATTAGCACTCTACAGAAAATACATAAATTTGTGACAAGTTAAACAACACCATCAGAATGCAAATAGCCAATTCTAAAATGTAGGAAGTTCTACAGTATAAATGTGATCTAGGTGGTGGCTCACACCCGTAATTCCAGCACTTGGGAGGCTGAGGCAGGAGGACTGCCACAAGTTCAAGGTCAGCCTGGGCTACATGTAAGTTTAAGACCAGCCTGAAGTACATAGCAAGACCTTGTCTCAAGCCTCAATCCCCAAAAGTGACCTAATTTCTTTAACAAGTAATTGTAATGGGAAAATAAAAGTTGATTTGTAGTGGGGGAAAGGTATACTGTTACAGATTAAAGGAGATATTGGAGAATATTATCTAAGTGCAAAGTGTAGACTTCACTTGCATCCTTTCTCATATAAACCCAGATTTAAAAGATATTTTTCATATAAGTGGTTATTTATTTATTTATTTATTTTGTAATGGGATTTAAACCCAGGTCCCTGAGCTACATTCCCAACTTTAAAATGTTTATTTTATTATTATTTTTATTTTGAGACAGTGTTTTGCTGAATTGCTCAGGATGGACTTGAAGTTCATCCTCATTCCTCAGCCTCCCACAGTGCTGAGAGAGATTTTTTTTGGCTTATTAAATAATTAAAGAATTTTTCTTTATCTTTTAGTGAAACAGTATTGTGATACAAAGATAATCTGGAATTTAAAGTAAAATAATCTAGCAGTAGAGGAGGTTTGACGAGGTAATACAACAAATGACACAAAAGGAAGGATGGTCCTGTTGATTACAAGAGATATGTGAAACATGTCATGTGAATGGATTTGTGAACTTTGTACCCTAAGTTAAACAAAAAATGAAGAGACATTTTTGAGACACTTGGAAAATATTACCCAGGATCTGGGTATTACATGATATTTATTAAGTATTATTAACCTGCTGGGTGTATAATTATATTGTAGTTATGTTGTTTTAAAAAAATCTTTATACGTTAGGCATACAACCCAAAGTGTTAAGAGGTCAAATCATATGATATTTTTAATCTGTGTTAAAATTTTCTGTCAAAAAAGTGACAAGATTCGTAAGATTTTCAATATGTTAATAATTATTGAAGATTGGTGATGTCCGTATAATGTGGTACATTGTACTATTTTGTAGATGTTTGGAAATGTCTCTAAAAGAATGTAAAAATAAAACCCTTTAACAGCATTATGCAGTTTTGTTTATTTTAGCTTTATAACATGATTTACCATTCATTTTCTAGCATTTTCCTAGCTATTGTCTTTAGGCTTTTTGGAGTTATATAAGAAATCATGTGGAGTTTTTTGGGGGAAGGCATTCCATTGAAATTACATTTTTATAGTTAGAACTGACATTCCTACATTATAGAAGTTTTTCATGTAGGAATTACTACATAGTCATTGTAGTATAGCTAAACTGTTGATTATTTTATTCCAAATTTCTATCTTCTTACTTTGGTAGACTCTTATGAGATCAAATAGTTTTTCAGTGAATTTTCTTTGTGGAATGTTTTATGGAAAGTCACAGTTTTTTACTTTTTTTCAGTTTTGTTTTTCTATCTTATCACTTGGCTAGACACTCTGTGCCATTTGTGCAGTTGTAATAGTGATCTCTTATCTTTTATTTTCTTTTTCTTTGTCTCTATCATTTTGCTCTATTTTTAGCATCTTTTTGATTTTACAAGTAATACATAAAACTTTTGAAAAAATGTATTTTATTTTTTAAATGTAAGTTTTACACAATTCTGTGTAAAGACTTTATTATATCTCTTTCACAAAATGCCTATATGTACATTATAATTTGCTAAGATTAATAAAATTGATTTCTCAGATTTCTGGTTAGAAGTGTATCATTTGGATCATAACCTACACTTAGACACTGATTCACGTTAAGAATTTCACTGTATATATCCTCTCCTTATCTAGTAGAATTAATAATTTTTAAAGTGCCAGTTATCTTTTGCTCCACTAAAGTTCTTATTTGTATTTTTTTTTTTTTTTTTGCCAACTGCTAAACCAGGAACAGGGAATATTTAGGCAGACTAGTCCCTGCTAGAGTGGGGCTGAGAGACACAGAGCTGGGTTTCTTGTTTTTGTTCTTTGTTTTTGTGATCTCTCAAGGCCACCAAAACTCAGAAGGGTCATGGTCACAAGTTCTGACATCGATATTCTAGGAAGGTAAAGTCCAAGGAAAGAATAATAAATAAAGCTAAGAGAGTTAGAATTTGAAGATATGTAGCGTCTTAGGGCTCTGGATACTTTTGTTTTGTTTTGTTTTTGTTTTTTGGTACTAGGGATCAAACTCTGGACCTTGCGCTTGCGAGGCAGGTGGCGGAACCACTGAGCTAAATCCCTGGCCCTCTTGTTTGTAGTTTGATGGGCTATTTGTCCCTTTTGAATAATACTGGGGTTTCTTTTAAAAAATAAAATATACCTTGGATTCTCATGTTCTTAAGCTCTTCAGCAGATCCAGATGGCTCCTTTTTTCCCCCTGAATCATTTAAAAGTTGGCTGTCAAAATTGTTATCCTTAATGTTTGAAAATGTATTTACTACAAATGATAAAACTCTTCTTCTGAACCCTAAAATAACCATCAAAATACAAATCCATAAATTTATGCCACCTGACATTCATACGCCATTTAAGTTTCACCATTTGTCCCAATAACCAGCAAAAGGATCTAGTTCAGGAAACTGTTGTCATTCTTCATTATGGAGTCGTTCATCATTTGTTTGCCATTTATGATTTCAGCAGTTTTAAATATTGTAGCCTATGTACTTTGTAGAACATGCCTCAGTATTTGTCTGGTATTTTCTCATGACTAGACTTAGGATATTTGGCAAGAATGTTACTGTTCTCATTGCATCCCATCAGGTCACCTATGAGTTTGACTTATGTCATAAAATTTTCAGCTCATAGATTTCTGTTTGTTAAAATGTGTTCTATTTGTTTAATAATTGTTAATTTTCTTCCTCAGAATGTCCCAAATCTGACCAGTGAGAACTTATTAAGGGAACATCTGTCTCTTTTGACATATCTCAATCACTTTGGAACATTCCTCACTTCATGTCACAACTAAGTTGCTTAATGTTTAGTTATGATTCATTTTTGTTTCTTTTAGTTTTAAATTAGATGGACATTTTAGGTAAAGATTTAATATTTACTTTATGCTTTATTAAACCCTGTCCTATCTGTTCTGTTGTTGGTATACTCTACCTCATCTATAACTATTTCATGTTTGAATATTTATTTAATTAATTAATTCTGAGGCAGAGTCTTGCTATGTGGTTCAGGCTGGCCTTGCACTCACTCTGTAGCCCAGGCTGACCTTAAACTTGTGGCAATCCTTGTGCCTCAGCCT